GTTTTTATTGTTTTTTTCTCACAGTGCATGAAATCGACGAAAAAATAGAAGGCTGCGGCCACATGAGAGCTTTACAGCAATAAAACTGACAGAAATAAAAGTGACAGGCATGAAATTATATTCAGGTGTCATTATTCTTGAATTATACAGGACTCTCAAGGCATTATTTTCACAATTTCATCCACTGTCCTAATAAAATTGAACCCATGGAATCAAATATTGAAATATGATTGTGACGGAATATTAAAACTTTGTATAAGTGCTTCTACAGAAATTAACAGGTTTAATTTGATATTATGATTATGACAGTGACTAGATGCTATGCATTTTCATAAAGATATCATTCAGCAACTCAAAAATGTGTAAAATAAGTAATTTCCTTCAATTTGCTGCTGAGCTAAATATTCTTATGATTTAAGTAAAGGATTTCAATATAGTCTGGTGGATGTCATTTATTTGTTACGAATTCATTAGATCAGAATATTATAAGTCATGAAGGCTTAATATTTACCTTGAAGTTTTTATTTGGCCATAAATATATCCCTATATATTTCTTGAAACATACAGGATAAAATACAGCGATTTTCAGAAAGACACCCAGGTAGAAGTTACGGTTCGTTATATTTTGTATACAAAGTGATGTATTTGTAAGAGAACTGAGTAAAAACACTGCTTGAGAGACGATGACAACATAGGAACGGTATCATTTTCCAAATCAGTTCGCTGTGAACAATGAAAATGTACCGCAATCTGGAGAAAATATCATCTACTATGGAATTGGATGACACTTGAGGAAAATTCATAAAGTTCAAGTTGCTTTAAGTAAAAAGCACAGAAAATATTCTCTCTTTGACCGCAAACACCTATGTAATATCCTAATATTTTCATCCATATTTTATCACGAGTTTCATCTGTTTGTTTAACAAATAAGCATAAATATATTGTTCCAAACTGTCTGGTTTTTAGTCATTTACGTTTGAATGAATCACTAGAGATTTTCGTTGAGGAGTTGCTTTGAATAAGGATGTTTTCAGATATTTTTGTTTTCATTCAGTAAAATCCTTACTGAATGATGTATGAGACACTCAAAAACAATTTTTTACGATTTCTCAGTGAAATATTACCTTGATCACTACAAATAAATGAGTGAAGCAGCATACTGTATATACTGATTTATTCCTTTATTTGTGGTACTCAATTCAACAGAATATAATTTTTTCGCAGTTTGAAATTCATAAACGATTTGAAAATTGTAATTTATTCATATGAACGACCATAAATATCGATCCGAGTATTATTCTGTTTATTAAAACAATCTGTTCATCTAATCAATTTTGATTTTAAAAATAATATTCTAGAGATCAATAAAGGCAGTATTATTTTATTTTTGAAAAATTTTAAGATGCTTAAGAACACTGCAATTTTGGTACCCGATATATTGAGGGTGAATATTTATTTGCTGGTAATGGATAAACTCAACCGATTTTACGATTTTTTCCAACTCAAGGAAGCTACATTATCAGATAGTAACATGAGTTGTATTTTAATAAAAAAAATTGGGATACCTACAAAAATTGGAGTGTTGCTATCTGAGAAAGTTTAAAAAATAGCTTATAAAAGACAACTTTTTGACGTGTGAACAGGGGAGGATAGTTATAATGAAGGTGGAGAGTAAACCAACAGAAGTATCTCAAAATTCAATTCAACTCTCATTATATAAACTCACAAGTACCTAATATATTTTGAAGGTTCTCATGACAACCTGAGCTCTATTTATTCTTTCATCCATTCGCAATATATGAGAATAACCATCTAGAACTATTTTTATTGTTTGGTTTTTACTCAGAAGTGAAGAAATAAACATTCAAGGAATTTATGAAATCACGATTAACTATAATCTAGATATTTTCATATAGGTTTAGTGAAACTTCTTTGTTTTTTGCGATTTAGGAGTGTTATTAATCAGTTCTTTATATATAATCAGTTTTTAGAGTAAGTGGTGATTAAATTTCTAAATCACGAATACTTATACCAATATTGTTATGAAAATTTTGAGAATACCACATTCTGTAGACAAAAAATAATGTCGTTAATATATACGTGAAATGAGGCTGAGGGTAGATCCCCTGGGAATACCTTTCTTGACATCTGTACTTCTTTTTATGTCGTTATTCAGATGTACTTCAAGATAGCATGCTTTATCCAAGTTGTTCGTTAACAAATTACAAAATATTGGGAAAACAGTGAGGTAAATAGTTTTTAATTTCATTTCAAAATATTTACCTTCCTTATAGGTATTGTTCTTTTTGAAGATAATTTAGTTATTTATTTATTTATTTCATACACTATTCCGCAGGATGAACCCAATTACAGAATAGGGAGTAACAGTGGCATTTACAATAATCTGCGTATAAAGAAAATTGACATCAATCTCAGCTCCGATATCATTAATGAACATATTGAATAGCAGGGGTCTTAGATATGACCCTTGTTGTACACCAGCTGTGGCTATATATTTGATAGACTTGAGGCTATTGAGTTGGACGTACTGCGTATGGTTGTGAAAATATGATTTGAAGAGGGTGATCAAGTCATTGGATAACCCAAAAGTCGAAAGCTTGTGTAGCAGGAAAGTATAGTCAAGTCTGTCGAACGCTTTAGAAAAATCAGTGTAGATGACATCATTCTGAGACTGACAATCAATACCCTCTGCAATACATTGAGTGATTGTTACAAGATTCGTGGTGGTTGAACGTCCTTTCATAAAACCATGTTGATTGGGGCTAATAATGTCGCTGACATGACAATAGATTGCCTTCTCGAAAAGCATCTCAAACACTTGACAAAAGTTGCATATGATAGAGATTGGTCTGTAATTTTGTATCTCACTTTTGTCTCCTTTTTTGAAAATTGGGCAAACTTTCGACATTTTCCATATTGATGATACAGTTGATGTTTTCAGGCATATAATAATTAGAGTTGTTAGTGGTTCAGCCAGAGCTGAGGCACAATCTTTAATGATGAATGGAATATGATCATGTCCCGCAGTAAATTTAGGCTTTAATTTTTTTAGGGTATGATAATCATCTTCAATAGTAAAGTTTTTGATTGCTAATCTGGGAATATCACTACTGTTGTTCGCATGGTCACTTAATGTTGACACTATATAAGAACCACTGAAGAAATCTGCAAAACCATCAAAAATATGTGAGGGATTATCGAGTAGCTTGCCTTCATGTTACATTTTATCTCCGATTCCATTCATATGTTTTGACTTGTTAATGAATGACCAAAACTTATTGGGGTTATGGTTAACCTCGCTCTCAGTTTTCTGAATGATTTTTTATAAGCTGTTCTAATGGCTGCTTTGATTTCTGCCCGAAGACGTTTGAATTTGTGAAAAGCGTGAATGTCACCGTTTCTTTTGTATTTGCACCAAAATTTTGTTTTAGTTCGAAATTTCCTCATCAAAGCACCATCAAAGTAGGCTGGATATTTATTTTTAGATTTTATCTAGAACTTTGGTACGCAGTGATTAAATACACTGTATAATTTTTCATAAAAGTGAAGACAGGCATCATCTGCATTGCGAAACGCATTTAGAAACGTCCAATCGAGATTGAGGATCAGCTCATACATGAGCGGAAAGTTAGCTTTTTTAAAATTGTATGCATCTTGGAAACATGATGCAAATTTATTTTTCGTGTTCGTTTTGAAGTTCAGTTCGCTTGTTATTTCCAAAGCAGGATGATGACCGTCTTCTTTTATAATGGATCCAGGGATTTTTCAACGAGGCAGAAGTGTCTGTCCTATATATTTTAAAATAACCAGGAAAAAGTTGCGAGTTATCGATGGATGAGTCAAGCCACATTTCCGTCAACATAAAAACCTTATTCTCATTCATAGAGACTGCATCAAAAACTTGTCTAGTTTTTGTTCGCAGTTTTATGGCAGAATCAGTGGAAAAGCTCCCATCAATCGAAATAAGATGCTTCATGACGAATTCATATGAAATATTTTCCATATTATGACACCTTTGTTTACAGTTTTTCTACACAATTACATGCTTTTTACTATAGCAATTACCTTGTTTTCTATCTTGAGAACAATTCGCAGCAAATGATATTATTGCCGATTTGAATACTGACCATAGAAACTAGAATAATGCAAAAGACATTGCATATTCAATGATTTTCCAATGTTCACATTCAGATGGTTCCAATGGCACTATTCAGTAACACAAAGGTATTTCAACAATAATTTTTTGCACTTCTACCCGATACTTATTATACTTATCGACCGCAGATGGCACGGTAATTTGCAAGGATCCGAAGAATGCAGACGACCGTCTGTAGTCTCAAATTCTCCATTCTCTTCAATTTCATCGCACATTTCCAATCTGATAGAATGTCTCAGTCTGAAATAGAAGATATCGACGTTCATGCATTCTTTTCACAGGTATTTTTCAATAATAACTTTCGTCATCTCATATTGAAGTCTCCAAAGTTACAGAACGGATTCATTTTTCTCACAAATGGAAATAAACTCCTGGTAAGTACTGTTTTTTACGAGGTCTTTTTTTGCTTTAACTACAAGTCTGAAGATTTTGATATTTGAAATCATTCAGCAACATTTCAACGTTTAGAAAAATAACTTCCCAAACTCGAAAACATCGTTTAGCCCCATTACAAGTTTTCTTCAATCAAAATGGTGTTTTATTCCTCAATATTGATGAGTCTGTTGGAGTTCAAACCATGAAGATTCAAACTCCGGCAAAATATTTCAATACAATTGTAAAATGTCAGAGATTGCAGAAACTTTTTGATTTCAAAAATCGGTTGATAATCGATTATTGATTTCAAAGTTGCAGAATATTTCAATTTAACGGTTGATAGTCGGTGACTGAGATTCAGTATAGAAGCTAGTGGCGTTGAATGACAGGCGATATTGCCGTTTACCATCCACAAGCCCAATAAAACAGCAATAGACCAAATAAATACCTTTGATTATATCGCAGATGGTCTGCTCCAGATGTTTATAACATTCTTCGAGTACAAGATGCCATTCAAGTAGTATCAGGAATATGCATCAGTCAATCCAAAGTGAACGTTTCCCACAAAATATGTCACAACCAACACAAACACAAGGAATCAACAACTGTAACCGATACGATAAAAAAATTTTTCGATTTCCACACAAAAACAACTTGAATATCACAGCAACGTTACATCCGACTGAGTCACCTGGACACTGCGGTGGTACTATTCTTAACTCACGAGTGACCTTGAATTGTTAGAGTGGCAGCGCACACCCGTACCAACGATGGTTCGATGATGACTGAAGAACTGTGAAGAACCACAACCAGTACTCTCAAGAACCTGAAATGCCCCGCTCGACAGAGCCGAACTCTTCGCATGGCAAGAATTTCCTTTGTCGTCTCCCGAATGAGACGCGTAAAGGGTCCCATTCACGTCGAACGAATTGGTTGGCGCGTGTAAGGAACCGCGGTGAGAGATTCAATTCGAGTGGAACATTTGGTTTTGACACTCTGTACAAAGAACTGTGGGTATAGTTCATGTAAACGATATATAGTGCAACCTACCTTCTAAGAGTTCCCCTTTGATAATGTAGTTAGGGAGCTAACTAATTTTGTATAACAGAGTGATGACTGACAATACTTTAGAATACTACTTAC